ACTTGTGAGAGTGTTGGGTCATCCTTTAGGATAGGTTGTAGATCCTTAATAATGCGTTGGAGGGGTTTTAGTTGGGGGCTGAAGGTGACCGCTAGTGGCGTTCTGTTATTTTCTTTGTTAGGCCTGTCCTGTAGTAGGTAACTTCTGGGAACTCTTCTGGCTCTATCAATCTGTTTCTTTACTTCTGCAGGTGGGTATTGTAGTTGTAAGAAAGCTTGACAGAGATCTTGTAGGTGTTTGTCTCTGTCTGAGGGGTTGGAGCAAATGCGGTTGTATCGCAGAGCTTGGCTGTAGACGATGGATCGTGTGGTGTGGTCAGGGTGAAAGCTGGAGGCATGCAGGTAGGAATAGCGGTCAGTAGGTTTCCGGTATAGGGTGGTGTTTATGTGGCCATTGTTTATTAGCACTGTAGTGTCCAGGAAGTGGATCTCTTGTGTGGACTGGACCAGGCTGAGGTTGGTGGTGGGATGGAAATTGTTGAAATTATGGTGGAATTCCTCAAGGGCTTCTTTTCCATGGGTCCAGATGATGAAGATGTCATCAATATAGCGCAAGTAGAGTAGGGGCTTTAGGGGACGAGAGCTGAGGAAGCGTTGTTCTAAATCAGCCATAAAAATGTTGGCATACTGTGGGGCCATGCGGGTACCCATAGCAGTGCCGCTGATCTGAAGATATACATTGTCCCCAAATGTGAAATAGTTATGGGTAAGGACAAAGTCACAAAGTTCAGCCACCAGGTTAGCCGTGACATTATCGGGGATAGTGTTCTTGACGGCTTGTAGTCCATCTTTGTGTGGAATGTTGGTGTAGAGGGCTTCTACATCCATAGTAGCCAGGATGGTGTTATCAGGAAGATCACCGATGGATTGAAGTTTCCTCAGGAAGTCAGTGGTGTCTCGAAGGTAGCTGGGAGTGCTGGTAGCGTAGGGCCTGAGGAGGGAGTCTACATAGCCAGACAATCCTGCTGTCAGGGTGCCAATGCCTGAGATGATGGGGCGCCCAGGATTTCCAGGTTTATGGATCTTGGGTAGTAGATAGAATATCCCAGGTCGGGGTTCCAGGGGTGTGTCTGTGCGGATTTGATCTTGTGCTTTTTCAGGAAGTTTCTTGAGCAAATGCTGTAGTTGCTTTTGGTAACTCTCAGTGGGATCATAGGGTAATGGCTTGTAGAAACTCGTGTTGGAGAGCTGCCGAGCAGCCTCTTGTTCATATTCCGACCTATTCAGAAACAACTCTGACATCATAATCAAAAAGGCTGACAAAGGAGGTGCTGTTGTCATCATGAATAGGTCGGAATATGAACAAGAGGCTGCTCGGCAGCTCTCCAACACGAGTTTCTACAAGCCATTACCCTATGATCCCACTGAGAGTTACCAAAAGCAACTACAGCATTTGCTCAAGAAACTTCCTGAAAAAGCACAAGATCAAATCCGCACAGACACACCCCTGGAACCCCGACCTGGGATATTCTATCTACTACCCAAGATCCATAAACCTGGAAATCCTGGGCGCCCCATCATCTCAGGCATTGGCACCCTGACAGCAGGATTGTCTGGCTATGTAGACTCCCTCCTCAGGCCCTACGCTACCAGCACTCCCAGCTACCTTCGAGACACCACTGACTTCCTGAGGAAACTTCAATCCATCGGTGATCTTCCTGATAACACCATCCTGGCTACTATGGATGTAGAAGCCCTCTACACCAACATTCCACACAAAGATGGACTACAAGCCGTCAAGAACACTATCCCCGATAATGTCACGGCTAACCTGGTGGCTGAACTTTGTGACTTTGTCCTTACCCATAACTATTTCACATTTGGGGACAATGTATATCTTCAGATCAGCGGCACTGCTATGGGTACCCGCATGGCCCCACAGTATGCCAACATTTTTATGGCTGATTTAGAACAACGCTTCCTCAGCTCTCGTCCCCTAAAGCCCCTACTCTACTTGCGCTATATTGATGACATCTTCATCATCTGGACCCATGGAAAAGAAGCCCTTGAGGAATTCCACCATAATTTCAACAATTTCCATCCCACCACCAACCTCAGCCTGGTCCAGTCCACACAAGAGATCCACTTCCTGGACACTACAGTGCTAATAAACAATGGCCACATAAACACCACCCTATACCGGAAACCTACTGACCGCTATTCCTACCTGCATGCCTCCAGCTTTCACCCTGACCACACCACACGATCCATCGTCTACAGCCAAGCTCTGCGATACAACCGCATTTGCTCCAACCCCTCAGACAGAGACAAACACCTACAAGATCTCTGTCAAGCTTTCTTACAACTACAATACCCACCTGCAGAAGTAAAGAAACAGATTGATAGAGCCAGAAGAGTTCCCAGAAGTTACCTACTACAGGACAGGCCTAACAAAGAAAATAACAGAACGCCACTAGCGGTCACCTTCAGCCCCCAACTAAAACCCCTCCAACGCATTATTAAGGATCTACAACCTATCCTAAAGGATGACCCAACACTCTCACAAGTCTTGGGAGACAGGCCAGTCCTTGCCTACAGACAGCCCCGCAACCTGAAGCAAATACTCACCAACAACCACATACCACACAACAGAACCACTAACCCAGGAACTTATCCTTGCAACAAAGCCCGTTGCCAATTGTGCCCACATATCTATTCAGGGGACACCATCACAGGGCCTAATAACATCAGCCACACTATCAGAGGCTCGTTCACCTGCACATCCACCAATGTGATATATGCCATCGTGTGCCAGCAATGCCCCTCTGCCATGTACATTGGTCAAACTGGACAGTCTCTACGTAAAAGAATAAATGGACACAAATCAGATGTCAAGAATTATAACATTCATAAACCAGTCAGAGAACACTTCAATCTCTCTGGTCACGCAATCACAGACATGAAGGTCGCTATCTTAAAACAAAAAAACTTCAAATCCAGACTCCAGCGAGAAACTGCTGAATTGGAATTCACTTGCAAATTGGATACTATTAATTTAGGCTTAAATAGAGACTGGGAGTGGCTAAGTCATTATGCAAGGTAGCCTGTTTCCTCTTGTTTTTTCCTACCCCCCCCCCAAAAGGTTCTGGTTTAACTTGGATTTAAACTTGGAGAGTGGCCAGTTTAGATGAGCTATTACCAGCAGGAGAGTGAGTTTGTGTGTGTATGGGGGTGGGGGGATGTGAGAAAACCTGGATCTATGCAGGAAATAGCCCGACTTGATTATGTAAAGAGTTGTCACTTTGGATGGGCTAGCACCAGCAGGAGAGTGAATTTGTGTGGGGGGGTGGAGGGTGAGAAAACCTGGATTTGTGCTGGAAATGGCCCACCTGTTGATCACTTTAGATAAGCTATTACCAGCAGGACAGTGGGGTGGGAGGAGGTATTGTTTCATATTCTCTGTGTGTATATAAAGTCTGCTGCAGTTTCCACGGTATGCATCTGATGAAGTGAGCTGTAGCTCACGAAAGCTCGTGCTCAAATAAATTGGTTAGTCTCTAAGGTGCCACAAGTACTCCTTTTCTTTTTGCGAATACAGACTAACACGGCTGCTCCTCTGAAACCTGTCATTAAGGTGCCACAAGTACTCCTTTTCTTTTTATATTAAACTATCTGTTCAATCTTATATTTAGCTGTGACACTCTTATACTCCTGGGAGCATTCTGCACCAAAAAGTTCTGCGCACTATATTTTAAAACTCTGGATATTTTATTTGTCAGAATAACGCTATGTAATCATGCCAGTTTCAATTATTTTAGTAATCTATTTCAAAATATCTGTCAGCAAGTATGTCTGTAACAGTCCAGACACACACACAAATTCCTCCAGGAGTAGAGTCAAAGAAACCCTTACAACAACCCAGTTTCTGTTTCTCTGCCCCCTCCCCCCAAGAGCCCAGCTGCGGGGCACCCTCCAGTCCAGACTCCTGCATCCCCTCTCCCACAGAGCCCAGTTGCAGTCTCTCTTCCCTCCCGCCCCGGCCCCACTCAGGGATCCAGAGGAAGAAACGGCCAGATGCTGGTCCTGGGCTTTTATGGAGTTTCCTGCAGGATGCTTCCTTCCTTCAGGGCATGTTGAGAACTGTAGCTGCTGAGAACCCTCTAGTGCCGCCCCGCCCCCGCAGTGACCTCTATTTGCGAGCTGGGTTCTGCTGGGTCCAGTGGGCCCTAGTGGCAGCCAGCAGCTCTGCAGCCCATTTCTGTGGGGAGAAAAAGGAAATTCTGCATGCACAACAATAATTTCTGAGAAAATTCTGCATTGCACAGTGGTGCAGAATTCCCCCAGGAGTAACTTAGTACCTTAGTAACTTAGTACGGAAGAAGAGCTCTGTGTGGCTCGAAAGTTTGTCTGTCTCACCCACAGAAATGGGTCTACTAAAAGGTATTACTCACCCACCTTGTCTGTCACATATCCTGGGACTGACCACAGCACCAACAACACTGGGGTGGGAGGAGGTATTGTTTCATATTCTCTGAGGTATTGTTTCATATTCTCTGTGTATATATAAAGTCTGCTGCAGTTTCCACGGTATGCATCTGATGAAGTGAGCTGTAGCTCACGAAAGCTCATGCTCAAATAAATTGGTTAGTCTCTAAGGTGCCACAAGTACTCCATTTCTTTTTACGGTATACAACATTCAGGATGTCTGTCCTGCAGACTGTATTCTGTCTTGTCATTGTTTCCTTGTATTCCCCTGTCTGTATCTACCTGTTATCTCCTGTCTTATACTTAGATTGTCAACTCTTTGGGGCAGAGACTGCCTTCTTTTTCTGTGTTTGTACAGTGGGTAGTACACTGGGGTCCAGCTCCATGACTGGGCTCCTAAACACAACATTACTATCAATAAAAGAGAAATTAGAAGGTTTACTGAACTGTGGGGTGGGCTTGAAGACTGGTTGTGAAGATGAAAGCAGCATGTTCTGCCGTGAGACTCATTGCATTGGCATGTGTGCATGTACCCATCTTGGTGTTTGTTTTATATCTAGGATTTTTTTTTTCTAGGTCCGAGGAGTTTGAAACTAGTCTCCTAGGGTCGGACAATAACAATGAGTGCTTCAGTGATTCTTCTGCCTCTTCCAAGAGTCAAGTGAGCGGGAGCTCAGAATCTGGGGGCAAGCGGGCTATTCGCAGACCACTGACTGGCTGGAAATGAGAGGAATAAAAACCAATATTAATAAATCCTCAGAGAAGAAAGGTACTTTAGAGCCCGTAGTACTGGGCAAAGCTGTCTTCTCACTTATTCTTTTAATCAAGATTGAATGTCTTTCTGAAAAATATGCTACAGTTCAAAACCACAAGTTATGGTCTCAATAGTGTCTTTTCTAGGTTAAGGAAGACTAACTGTCTCCACTGCAGAACTTATTGGTAAAATTCTGTGGTCAGTTTTGTGCAGAAGGTGAGGCTAAGTGATCTGGCCTTTAAGATCAATGAAACTATGACTACAGGTCTGCTTTTATCTGCGGGTGAGAGCTCTGCCAGTGTTTCAACAGAATGCTTTGCACAGGAATTTTAAAACTAGGCTAGACAATAGAAACAACACTAGAACATATACAAAAGAGAGGAAGCCAGCAGTGGTCCTGGGGGTTAGAAACGGGCATGAAGTTGTCCTCTCCATTTCTAACATCTGTTATTTTCTGATTTAGAATGGGCTAGGGCCTTTTGTGCTGATGTACTTAATGCATCTTGCATGTCATATCCCATGAGGTGAAACCTATTAGTTAATGATGAGGAAGATCTCTGATATTCAGGTGTCTATACTGGATGAAAACTGGGGCAGTGTGAAAGGAGGCATGAACTAGGATGAGAAGGTTCTGCATGTGTAGGGATTGGTCATATCATGTCAGTTGAAAACCTGTCTTTGAGACACCAGGGGGAAAATCTCACTAGCCCCAGGCATTCAAATATCATGAAATTGGCTTAAAAATCATGTTTTAAAAAAAGCCTTTTGTTTCTTTGCAATTTCTTTTTGGTTTTTGAGCTCTTACAGTCCACTGTGGTGCAACCATGAAAGTAGAACCTTGTTTTTTTTTTAACATGAAAGTAGAGATTTTCATGTGATTGGATCACTCCAGGAGCTGGGACTTCAAGACAAATACAAAATATCACAAGAGTCATGCTAAAACAATGAGAGTTGGCAACCCTGATTTTTGAGAGGAAAGATCCTGTGTGTGTGCTGCATCAGCATTTGTGTGTCTTGTGTGTGGGTTTCTTCCCCCAGTGCACTAAGTGAATCATAGAATATCAGGGTTGGAAGGGACCTCAGGAGGTCATCTAGTCCAACCCCCCTGCTCAAAGCAGGACCAATCCCCAATTAAATCATCCCAGCCAGAGCTTTGTCAAGCCTGACCTTAAAAACTTCTAAGGAAGGAGATTCCACCACCTCCCTAGTGGGGGAGGCCTGTCTGTGTTCTTGGTGTCTCAGTACCTTACAGCAAGCAGAATGCAAACTAGGCAGTAGTGGGTGGTCAGATGAGTCTTCCTGAAATCTCTTCTGTGATGGATGAGGAGCTTCCCCCTGAGAGTGGCTGTGGTGGGCAGGTGATTTACATGAGCTAATGCAAACTCTGTAGCAGTCTCTGCAGCATGACTAGTGGGGACCTGACTGGAAATTTGGGGAGCAGCAGCTGAGGGTCAGTTTTAGGTGCTGGTTGCCAGTTCCTTGTTCTGGATATGGGCCTAAGGATCCCAAATAAGGGGCTCCTTCCTGCATCTTTTCTCCTGGTTTGGCCCCAATTTCCATGGATATTGCAGAGAAACACCTTCTGGAAGAGTTTGCTCTATACTCCTTTTCTCAAACTTTCCAGTCCATTCTCCATCCTCTTGGTTCTGGCAGTGGGGTGTGTGTTGCTTCTCTCTTTCTGCGTAGAACCGGGGAGCAATGCAGTACTTCCAGTCCTTTCAAGGTCCTGCAAAAAATTCTGCCTTCCTGACAGAACAACCACTGGTTCAGTGTTCCCCACGTGTTGAGTCTTCCTTTGGCCTCCCTTTGACTAGGCTTGTATGCGGTTCAACCACTAGGAAACCCAGGGACAAAGCGTGTTTAGTATCCATTACAGAAGGAGTTCATCCAAAACCTAACAACTTCCTCTTTCTGGTCTGTACTAACCACCAAATCAGTTTCAGCTCCAGCTGAGGGTTGGACAGGGTGACCCACTTGTTATTTCTTAGTGTAGACAGGGCCCAGGTCTTCAGCCTTGTTCCTCATAAGGTGCATGTGGCTGTTCTGTGTTACTGCTTACCTGGTTGTGAGCGGTTTGTGATGTTACTCTTCAGATCTCTGATTATTCTTGCTGACTCTCATGTCAGCTGTACTCCTTGCCTCCCACTTGCGCACAATGGTTGCTTCCTGTCTTAGGGTAAGCTGGCCCTTTAAGAGGGTTGAGGCTCAGTTGCACCTATGCCATACTTTTAGTTTGCCTCCCCAGGTGGAGGAAATGAGCGAAGTCATATGACTAAACTAGGCATGCTGGGGAAATAAGGGGAGCTTGTGATTCAGTCATAGAGGGACTGCAGAGAGAACAGCCCTGGGAGTCAGTGCTGTATAAAAGAGTGTGTTGGGGGGGCATCTGGGTGGGATGAAAGATTAGGAAGAGGGCAGTGGGTTGGAGGGACAGGCCATTTGACACTCCAGGGGACAGAAAGCCTAGTTCTTTGTGTTCCCAGGAGTGGGAATGCATTGAAAAGGTGAATATGAGTTTCCCCCATGCTGCTGCCTAGCAAGGAGATGTAATGACCCCTGAGAACGAGGGGAGGATAGAGAGACTGAACAGAGCCCAGGTGGGGCTAGAGCTGAGCCCAGGAGAAGGGCAGGGTTGGAAGGGAAGATAGACCCTTGGGAAGGAAAGGCTGTGCCCAGCTTAATAGCAGGGCAGAAGACTATTTTGGCTTTGTGTTGGTTTGGACTTTGATATCCCAGAAGGGGTGTGGACTTTTTGGGACTTGGCCACGGGGCTAAGTCACCTCAGCAGCCAAACAATGTTGAACACAGAGAGAGCACCATTGGAGATAAGGGGAAACTGAAGCAACGGATGGAGATCGGCTAGGTGTGATGTTACACTCGCCGAGCCTCAGCAGGACTGACCTGTCTTCATTCTCTGACACCTCACAGGAGAATCGCCTTCCAGGGGGAAGAGGAAATCTGAGCGAGAGGATGATGAAGATTATGAAGAGTTTTCCAGAAAGAAGCAGAAAGTTCCTGGTAATATGAATAACTTGTAGTTCCTAGTATCAGAGGGGTAGCTGTGTTAGTCTGGATCTGTAAAAGCAGCAAAGAGTCCTGTGGCAAGAATTGTTTGCTGGAAAATCTACAAATGCAAGAATTTCACAAATAGCCAAAAGGTGTCAAATACAGTATTTGTTACTCAGGACTAGAGGTAGGCTATAATTTGTAACCTTGTCTCTCATGTGCTCACTGATAAGTTATTCCAATAAGTAGTTTTTTTATGGTGTTGGCTTGGCTGTGCTATAGCAAAGGCAGAGCTTTTGTTATGCTCTCAGCTAGAGCTGTGGAAACGCTGAAATGCAGTGCTCTTTTCAGTCTTAATGTACAGCACCATATTCAGGAAAGTAATCTCCCTAAAACAGGGGCTGAATTTGAAGTATAAGAAATGTCTTAGTCACATCCCTGAATCGAGCAAATAGAATTAAAATATTACTACATTAGTTGCTTTCTTTTCAAAGATTAGTTCACTGTGCTGTAGTTGGGGCTCTCCTTGGAAAGAGTCTAGAAGCTTCTGCTGGCACAGGATGTAGCATCTCTCCTTGAGTGAGGTGAACTTCTCCTGTCAGAGGAGTTTGACAGCAGTTGCCTGCTGCTTGCCCTTGGGTACAGTTCAAAATGTTGGTTATGATTTGTGAAGCATTGAATGGCCTTAGTATTAGTTCCCTGAAAGGAATGGAGGAAGGGATTGATCAGAAAAGAAAGGTATGTCGTGGCGATCAAAACATATAGGGTTAAAGTGAGAATTGCCAAAAGTCAGGCTGAGTTAGACCTTGAAAGGAAATTAAAACAAGCAGTACAAAATTCTTTAGACCTATAAATAAAAGAGAACAAAAAGACAAGAAATGGAGCCACTATGGAAGGAGGAAAGATTAAGAATAATCTAGGTATGGCCCAAAAAACTAAACCTTTGCCTCAGTGTTCAGTAAGGATGAAAATGTAGCACATGGGAATAAAGGCAGGATGGCTAGTGGAAGGGAGTTTATAGAAATGGAAATGACCACATCCAAGGTGGAAACAAAGAGTTAAATCAGGGGATCAGATAATCTCCATCCCTAAATACTGAGTGACTTGGGACATGAAATTGCAAGTCCAGTAGCAAGGATTTTTAATCTAGCACAGTGGTTCTCAAACTTTTGTACTGGTGACCGCTTTCACATAGCAGGCCTCTGAGACAGAGACAGAGACACACCCTCTAGACCTGTTAGTCTGACGTCTGTGGTCTGCAAAGCTTTAGAACAAATTTTGAAGGAAAGAATAATTAAGGACATGGAGGTAAATGGAAAAGGGGATGAAATGCAACATGGGTTTACAAAGGTAGATCATCCTAGACTAACGTGATATCTTTCTTTGATATGATGACTGAGTTCTTTGGCTCGACTGCATTTACTTTGTCTGTCTATCTGGACTTCAGTAAGGAATTTTACGTGGTACGACCTAGGGAATTATTACGTAAGAAGGAGAATATGGGAATTGATATAGGAATTGTAAGGTGAGGAAGGAAATGTCTAAAAGGGATAGGTCAGTGGGTTGTGCTGAAAAGAGAACTGTTCGGCTGGAGGAGGTAACTAATGGAGTTCTTCGAGGATCTGTCTTCAGAGCAGTCTCTTTTGCTTATTTTCATTAATTACCTTAGGTCAAAAAGTAGGTGTATGTTAATGACATTTGCCGATGACACAAAGTTGGGAAGCATTGTCAGTACACAGGAGGGTTGGAATATTACACAAGAAGAATTGGGTGACCTTGAGGACTAGAAAAATAGAAATGGATGAAATTTAATAGTAAAAAGTGATAAAAATTTCTGTGAAAAGCGGGAACTCTTAATTTGGAAACAAAGGAGCAGAAAGACCTGGGTGTATATATAGATCACAAAATGACCACAAGCCACCAGTGTTCACGCAGCCATGAAGCAAGATATTTCCAGAAGAGATAGGAAAGTATTCATACTTTTGTACAATGCACTGGTAATACCTCCTCTGGAATAATGTGTACAATTCTGGTCACCCATTTTCAAGAAAGATCAGTTGAAACTGGAACAGGTGCAGAGAAAGGCTACTAGGATGATCAGGTGCATGGAGAACCTATCTGACTAGAGCAGATGAGAAAAGATTAGCTTGTTTAGCCTAGCAAAAAGAAGGCTGAGAGGGGATATTATTGCACTCTGTAAATACATGAAAAGGGTAAATACCAGGGAGGATAAATGTTGGCACAAGAACAAATGGATATAAACTAACTATTTTTAAATTTGGGGAGGATATTTAGAAGATTTCTGACCATCAGAGGAGTGAGGTTCTGAAGCAGCCTCCTAATAGGATGTTTTCCCCACTACTCCTAACTAGTTTTACAATGGAGTTTGGTAAGTTTCTGAACAGGATTATATCATGGGTTTCCTGCTATAGCAGGGAACTGGACTTGATGATCCAGGAGGTCCCTTCCAGTTTTATGTTCCTTTCATGCTTCTCTCCCCACATCCTATTATAGTGATAGTAGTCTCCTGGGCTGCTCTTCCTGTGTGTTCCTGTTGCTTATTCTCTGGGATATGTGGTGTAGGATTCAGAGAAGAATCCCCACCTTTGGAACCTGCGTCCTATGGGGCACGCTAGAGCCCCAGTTGCATGAACTTCAGGGTGTCCTGTAGATCACATACTCTCTTGACTACGCCTTTTACGTCTCCATTATTTGTGCAGTAGGGTTTTATAGTATTTATTTCTTGAGCCATATTTAACTAGCTTTGGATGCTGAGCTAATGGATTCCATTTTAAAATCAGTAAGTAAACTTCAGTCCTCTGCAGAGAGAACTTGACCCTTGCAGTCCTTGCCTGCCAAGCCAGCAGCTTGAATAGGGCCCCTGCCCCATGAGCTCCACTCTGTCTAATGAGGGTGTCAAGGTTCCTTCCCCACTCTGAATTCTAGGGTACAGATGTGGGGACCTGCATGAAAACCTCCTAAGCTTATTTTTACCAGCTTAGGTTAAAACTTCCCCAAGGTACAAACTATTTTCCTTTTGCCCTTGGACTTTATTACTGCCACCACCAAGCGTCTAACAGATATATAACCGGGAAAGAGCCTGCTTAGAAACTTCTTTCCACCCCCCCAAATCCTCCCCAAGCCCTACACCCCCTTTCCTGGGGAAGGCTTGATAAAAATCCTCACCAATTTGCATAGGTGAACACAGGCCCAAACCCTTGGATCTTAAGAACAATGAAAAAGCAATCAGGTTCTTAAAAGAAGAATTTTAATAAAAGAAAAAGTAAAAGAATCACCTCTGTAAAATCAGGATGGTAAATACTTTACAGGATAATTAGATTCAAAACATAGAGAATTCCTCTAGGCAAAACCTTAAGTTACAAAAAGACACAAAAACAGGAATATCTATTCCATTCAGCACAGCTATTTTATCAGCCATTTAAACAAAACAGAATCTAATGCATATCTAGCTAGATTACTTACTAAGTTCTAAGATTCCATTCCTGTTCTGTTCCTGGCAAAAGCATCACACAGACAGAGAGAGCCTTTGTTTCCCCCCCTCCTCCAGCTTTGAAAGTACCTTGTCTCCTCATTGGTCATTTTGGTCAGGTGCCAGCGAGGTTATCCTAGCTTCTTAACCCTTTACAAGTGAAAGGGTTTTTCCTCTGGCCAGGAGGGATTTTAAAGTGTTTACCCTTCCCTTTATGTTTATGACTGAGGGTTTGCAGAGTTAGGTTTCACAGATTTTCTCATTATTTACATTAGCAAGGAAAAAGCAACGAGCTGGGGTGCAACAAAATCCCAAATCCAAAGGGCGTTATATGCGAAAAGAGCCACCAACATATGCAGCAGGTAAGAGAGACGAGCAGTGTTTAGGTAAGAGGTGAATGTAGTTCTGTGTGGTAATGTTTTTCTATGACCTCAGTCACTTTGCTTTTGGCAAAGGAGTGTGAATACCATCGTCGTTTGGACCCGATGACATTGTAGGAATACCTAATGGTGGTGGTTGCAGCATGTTGCTCTTTACCACTTTCTGTCATTTAAACCTATTCTATGATAACATTCCCTTTCTAAGGCATGGAAATTTAGACTTTGTACTGGCAGTGCATGTACAATGGTGCCTGGGGAGGGAATCACTTCTTGAATTGTGCAGAAATACATCAAGCTGGTTTCAGCCTAGACAACAGCAAAATATTCATATTTCTTTCACTCAGCAGAATGAAGGCATTACTACAAGTCACCCCATGCCATAGCCTGATAGCCAGAGGCTCAAGCAACCCCTTCTGTAACCATACAGTAACACCCTTGTTCTAGAATGTTGGACCATATAACGTTCAGCCTTTGTTATAATCAGCTGAGTGACCAGTGGAGCGTCAACTACACCCACTCAACTCCCAGCTCCTATTCAGAAGGACCTATGATTAAGAACATAAGAATGGCCATACTGGGTCAGACCAGTGGTCCATCTAATGGTCTGATTCTCATCAGCCTCCCCCCTGTCTCAAGGGGACACCTTTTAGAGTTACAGATAAGGAGGAACTGTATTGGAGCACATTGCTGTAAGGATTCCAGTTCTGGCTTTCATTCTCTGAAACCATTTTCAGGCCAGAGAATCCTTGGAGCTGAAACTTCTCCTGCTAATTCTCAGAAAGGGGCCAAGAGGCCACACCTGTCCGTACGCTTTTTTTTGCCTGTTGTGTGGCATGGTCTTCTAGAGCAATTTCATGTTTGCGTGAAGTAGCAAAGCCATTTATTAATGTACAGTGAAATCACATAGAAATCCTCATTCCTTCAGCCCCCTTCCTAGTTTCCAGTGTAAATGATCTGGGGAGGGTGAGGAGATCACACAACATTCAGATTTAGTTAGTAGAATGGGGAATTTGTCCCCCAGCAATGCAATCAAACCATTAACTTAAAGAAAAGCCCTTCTGCCAAAGCTAGAGAAAACCTAAGTTGTGTTTCATTTTGTTCTTGATTTTCCTCCTCTTCTTCCTCCATTCCTGTGATCTGACAGGCAGTGTGGAGGAACAGTGGTACCTGGAGATCCTAAATAAGGGCAGAGTTACCTGTCCAACATGCAGAGCTGTTGTCAGGAAGACTGTAGAGGGGCTGAAGAAACATATGGCCAATTGCAGACAGGTGAGAGAGACAGACTAGCACCATCTCCCATTCCTTTATTCCCCAGCTTAATGACCACAGTACCTGCCAGCAGGTACACAACCTTCAGACCATTAAGAACCACATAATTTCCTTCTATCGTGTTAATGTGAGAGGTATCCATTTGCCTGTCTATAAATCAGTGTAGTCAGCTGCTCCTTCCTCTGTGTTACTTGTGGTTTTAGGAAAGTGGGCAGAGACCTATCCATTCTCTTTTTCTTACCCTGTTTCTTTCTCTAGTCTTTATACCCCTCTAAAGTCTGTTCATTGACTTCCAAATGCATGGTGGGTTTTTTTCTCAGTGTGCAGTTATCTGACCCGCACAAGGTTTTCTTCCCTGCCTGCTGCCCCATTTCTCCTAAACAGTCACCTAATATCTGAGGTTTGTGTTAATGCAGTCTGCATTCTTGTTTTACTTGTAGGAAATGTTCACATGTCATCACTGTGGAAAACAGCTCAGGTCTTTGGCAGGAATGAAATACCACATCATGGCAGATCACAACAACCTGGTAACGTTGATATTGTACGTCTAGCAGAAGCCCTGACCTTCCAGGCCAGAGAGCCCTTTGTTGCTCCTTTGATGCACAAAGAGACTGAAAGGTGGTGGTTTTGTCAAACATTTTCTACCTTTAAAAATTCAGGTCTTATCTAACCAGTTTTTCCTGAAAGACTGAATACCTGGAAAACTAGTAGCATTATGATGTCAGAAATGCTAGGCAAGTGACAGCTGATAAAGATGAGAGGGCCTTTCTATTTCGGGTGTGTATTTGTTATTAAAATTTATCAAATACTCTGTTTAAAAAAAAAAAAGTCAGAAGAAATGATCTGATTATTAATTAAGACACTCTAATTCTCACCCCTTCGCTAAAGGGCTGGGAGGTTTTGTAAAATACAGATCAGAGTCATCCAGCAATAACGGAGCAGACTAGTTGAGATCCTGACATTTTCAAAGTAAAAAGCAAGCAGTAAACACCTTTCAGTCCTCCTTTATCCTGCATAAAGATACACAAAGGGCATAATCCATTTTCCTCCTTTAGTCACCTTTAAGAAGCCTGTGTCTCTAGTTCTGGCAGTGAAGAGTGAGACCCTTTGGGAGATGTCACTCAGAAGAGTGGGAGAGAGCGTTCCTAGGCTTGGTGAATTTATCACTCATTGCTGTTTATATCGTGTTTATCACCACAGTATCTAATAGAATAAATAACTGATGTAGGGCTGTCCTTCTGTGCTGCAGAGTTTGCCAACAAAATTGTCATTTGTGTTACTGCTGTTCCGAACCCTGAGGACAGCAGTGAAACAAATGGGAATTGTATCACTTTCATGCTGCTACTGCTTGAGAAGCTCTGAGCAGCAGCTGAGACAGCAGGAGTTATTCACAAGGAAGGAGGGGATACAATGGAAGAAAAGGGAGGGGGGATTGCAGGCATGCAGAGTAGCAGAGGCCTGCCCTGCCCCTTAACTCACAGGATGGGAACAGCAGAAAGAGAATGCTCCTCCTCTCTGGAGGGCAGAGGGAGCTGGGCAACTTGAAATGTATCCAATACCTGGGAGTCAGAGGCTGATATGAATATTGGCACCCCAACCAGAGTCCAGGGATAGCACCCTTATAAGGTCCTCCTATATCCTCCTCTTCCCAGCATCTGTAGGTTGGCTGGGCTTTTCATCAGGGTGGGGGCCTTTAGTTGGATGTTAAAATGATCACCTGTGAAATAGTTATCACCCCACTGGGATGAATGGAACAGTTCATTTCTCTCAAAGCTATTCAGTTGTCCGCAGACTTAAGCAGAGATCGCATCATCAGATACATTCAGGTTACTTTTGGAAGGTTTCCTATACAGCCATAGATTTAGAAAGTGCTTAGATTACGGAGCTGGATTATGGAGCAGATTCCCAGAATGTAAAATTACAGAGTGCTGAGAGCCCTGTGCTCACCTTTTTTCTCTCTGCTTTGCTTTTAGCCAGTTGTGAAGGAGGGAGGTGAATTAGATGAGCAGTGTGAACGAGACCGCCTCCGGAAGGTGCTGAAGCGAATGGGAAAGCTAAAGTGTATGAGGGAGGTGAGCTGCAGTATCTTGTGTCCCAAAAGAAGCAGCAGCCTTTGCCAGAGTTTAGAGCACTGCATGATGTCTGCTGGACACACTTACAAGAGCCAGTCAGTGGGACCTGTGCCAAAGCTCTGGTTATGGTTTTAAGACAATGGGCCTCTTCAGAAGAACCTCATGCTGTTAGGTAACCAGGTAGACAGCACAATGGCAGAAGGGATTAAAATTGACAAATGTAAGGTGACGTACGTTTAGAAGGAATGATTTAAATGATCTGCACTCGCTGAACTATTGTAACCTCCTACCTAGGGATATGATGGGTTCTGGTGGGCTGTAGCTCAACCCAAATTATAGGGCTTGATGTAGGTATTTCTGCATGAACATCTCTGGCATATTTTGTGCAGGTCAGACTACATGATCATTATGATTCCTCTGGCCTTAAATTCTATTAATCTATTGAAAACTGAAGATGTAGAGGTAATTGTGAAAAGAACAGACATCTGCTTAATGTGCAGCAGTGATCAAAAGAGCGAGTAAAATACTTAGGAAGTACTATGGCTTGGATAAACTTTGGCTACAGCTCCATTCTCAGTGAGCAGGTGTGTACTTCACCACAAATTGCCTAGCCCACCTCTACAATCTGAAAGAGGTCAATAACTGAATGAGCAATGTAGACCTACAGCCCCTCTTGCCTCTGTAGGTGATCTGGCTGGGTAGGGGCTGAGAGAAATTGGCAAGAGACAACGTACACAAGCTTTTGCCATCACTTCCCAAGCTGTAGCTGCTCTACAGAAAGAGGGTTTCAGTTTACAAGGCCTCAGTTTGGAACTTCTCATGCACTGAGTTCATAGCAAGATGGGAGGGGACAAACATCTAATATTTATATTGTCATCAGTGTGTCCACACCTAAGATTCTGCATTTGGTGTTCATCATTTTATCTCAGAAAAGACAGAACAGAAATGTAAAACAAAACAGTAAAATCCTGAGAAGGGCAACAAAAAAGATTTGGCAGATATTTATAGTGGGGCTGAAAGGAGGGTACCATAAGAACGGCCATATTGGGTCAGACCAAAGGTCCATCTAGCCCAGTATCCTGTCTTCCCACAGCGGACAATGCCAGGTGCCCCAGAGGGAATGAACAGAACAGGTAATCATCAAGTGATCCATCCTGTTGCCGATTCCCAGCCTTTGGCAAACAGAGGCTAGGGAAACCATCCCTGCCCATCCTGGCTAATAGCCATTGATTGACCTATCCTCCATGAATTTATTTTGTTCTTTTTTGAACCCTATTATAGTCTTGGCCTTCACAGCATCCTCTGGCAAGGAGTTCCACAGGTTGACTGCGTTAGGTGAAAAAATACTTGGTTTGTTTGTTTGAAACCTGCTGCCTGTTAATTTCATTTGGTGACCCCTAGTTCTTGTGTTATGAGAAGGAGTAAATAACACTTCCGTATTTACTTTCTCCACACCAATCATGATTTTATAGACCTCTGTCATATCTCCCCTTAGTTTTCTCTTTTCCAAGCTGAAAAGTCCCAGTCTTATTAATCTCTCCTCATACAACAGCCGTTCCATACCCCTAATAATTTTTGTTGCCCTTTTCTGAATCTTTTACAAGTCCAATATCTTTTTTGAGATGGGGCGACCACATCTGCATACAGTTTTCAAGATGTGGTGTACCATGGATTTATATAGAGATAATATGATATTTTCTGTCTTATTATATATCCCTTTCTTAATGATTCCCAACATTCTATTTGCTTTTTTGACTGCCACTGCACATTTGAGTGGATGTTTTCAGAGAACTATCCACAATGACTCCAAGAGCTCTTTCTTGAGTGGTAAAAGCTAATTTAGTCCCCATCATTTTACATGTGTAGTTGGGATTATGTTTTCCAATGTGCATTACTTTGCATTTATCGACATTGAATTTCATCTGCCATCCAAAGGAATTCACCATCCAAAGAGGAATTAAGGACTCAGGCCAGATTCTGTGCTGTCCCTCTTGTGTGAGAGCGTGGCATAGGGCTGTTCTGAGAGCTGAATGCCAGTGGGGGGAACTCCTTTACACAAGTGGTAATCCACAAAGGGATGTAATGGTGTAAATAGGCTATAGCAACAGGCAGAATCTGATCATGAGGCTGCTTCATTTGGAAGAGTACAAGGAGGTATGAGAGGTATTTAGAGCAATGGATTGTGTTGATGGGGCTGACCATGTTTTATCCTGCCCTATCAAACAGAATGTAACGCTGACAGACCCTGGTCGTCGACAGGCGGGATCGAACCTGGGACCTCTGGAGCTTAGTGCATGAGCCTCTACTGCATGAGCTAAAAGCCATATAGCTGTTAGATAAGGCTGTAGAGCAGACTCATTAATCTCTCTAAGTGGCCTAAGCGCCACTAGATGGGACAGAGCACCACACCCAGGAGGTGTGGGGGTTACACTGTAAAATGAAAATTTCAAATGGACAAAAGTAAATGTGTGTTTATGTAGCATGCAACTACTCCGTGGAGCTCACTGGTAGGGGATATTGAAGCAAGCCACTGACTGGTCTAATGTGGGTGTTCTGTATTTATTGTGTAGAATGCCTCTAGTCCCCAAGCACTTCATTTTGGCAGCTGTACTTCATTGCTGTGATCACTTCCCAGTTCTCCACAGTGCCATAAATATTGGTATCTCTTCATGTGGTCACTGCCATTGGAGGTTTTCTTGCCCCTTTGAACATCTGTAATGTTCTGCAGCTGCCAAGTAGTTACCTAGCTCCGTAGCTTTAAAAGGGTGGCATCTGCAGTGAGGCAAAGAGGGAAAACAATGACCAATGGGCTCCTTCATATAGCCATGAATGTTTTCCCCAGGAGAGTATTACACAGTGATGTGAATTGTGGGGGTTTTATGATATCCTGTGCAACATCTGAGACTGGCAGCTGCTAGGGAGCGATCAGCCCAACCTGGATGGGCCATTAGCTTCTTCAGATTCTGTAGGGTTATTTCTGTTCTTTGCCAGCCAGGGATGGGGTCTGCCATGTGTGCCAGAGCTCTGGCTCCATACTCTTCTCTTCTGCACTGACAGGGGTGTACAGGCAGCTTCACCAGCATAATGGGATACCTGTACCATATGAAAAAGTGTGGGAAGGAGGCCTCTGAGTTGGAGAAAATGGCCATGAAATGTCGTCACTGTGGGAAAGCATACAAGTCAAAGGCAGGGCTTGTTTATCACCTTAGGTCTGAGCATGGGCCGGTAAGTATGAGTTGCCATTGCTGTCGGGAAAAGGAGCTATGTGTGGTGACCTCTCTCTTTCTCCAAACCACTCTTCCATTTGCCCACTTTGGACAATTGATTCTGATCTCCCTGGGCCCACTGTACACTGGAGAGCCTAGTCCCATCTGTTTCATGCTTCACGGTGTTGTAGGGGCAGGCAGCCTCCTCCTGCCTCTCAAGTAGAATCCTCCTTCCTGATCCCTTTTCATCTGGGAGGGGAACCTGCAATGCTCCCCTTGTGATTGAGACTTCTGCTGCTCTGCAGCTAGGACAGAGCTTGATACATAAGTAGTCTGGATGGCAGCAAACCCTTCCCCAGCTCCCCTCACCCTCCTCCACGGGGGTATGGTGCTGGCATGTTTGATGTCCTGTGAGAGCTGCTTGTTGCTCTTTTTTTTTTTCTCCAGATTTGAGATCCATCTCTGGGACAGGACAGGAACCAGAATGCATGTTGTTCCTGCAGTGTTCAATAGAAATGGGGGTGAGGTGTATCAGCCCATCCAAGGCACATATCTCTGGTTTCTTTCTGAGCCCAGGTGCTCTCAAGCTTTGTGTCATGTCTGGGCAGAGAGCTCTCTTCCCACAGCTGCCCTGATACACGGATCTCACAGTCTTTTCCTGGCTCCAGGGTACTCTTGTGCCTGAGTTTTTTGAGGGGAAGTAACTGGGATAGGGCATTTTGGCCTGATCTGAAGGACCTTGATGGATCATTCAAGTGTGGCCTAAGTGGGATCTGATGAATAGAGCTCACCCTATTGGCCTTTCCTTGCAGGTCACTTTCCTCCATGAAGAAGGGAGGCCTGAGAGTCTGAAGGAAATGACCCTGGAGCCCAGTAATGCAGGCAGAGTCCAGAGAAAATCTGCTAAGGTGGCAGTCTATTACCTTCACGAGCTAGCTAATGAAGAGCTGGCCAAGGAGTGGCCTAAGAAGAAGGTTCTACAGGACCTCGTCCCAGATGATCGGAAGGTATAAGGCTTTAGGTGGGGACTGTACTCGCAAAAAGTCTTGCACAGTAGAAGAATCCTGCACTGGCGCCTAGGAGATGGCACTTTATAGTGCTTTCTGGTTCCAGGCAATGGGCCAATAGTAACTGATTGGGTGCGGAAAGAGCTGATTTATGATACTATATAAAATAGGGTATACCTGGCTAGGCAGTAGTACTGCTGAAAAGGATTTGGGGATTATAGTGGCTCACAGATTGAACATGAGTCATCAGTGTGATGCACTTGCAAAAAATGCAGATATTCTTAGAAGACTCCTATTACTACATCCATGTAAAACATGGGAGGTAACTATTCTTTGAGTAGTTGCAGACATGTATTCCAAAAAAGTGTGTGTATGCCTAGTGCACTGAAATCAGAGAATATTGCCTAGCAGTATACTTGGAGTGATACTCACACGCTTCCCTCATAGCCCCTGCCATGGCTATATAAGGGAGGCACTTCTCTGATCCCTATAATTTCCTTCTCACTGCCCAGAGCTAGTCGGAGCGCTCAGTGTGGCGTTTCTTCACATTGATTTTCATGCCTCAGTCTTCTGAGATTTAGTTGTAAATAATTATAGTAGTTTGTTAGCTAGTAGTACCTTAGTTAGAATAGTGAGTTAGATTAAATAGCTTGTTTTTTTTGGTGGAATGCCTTCATCAGGATTCAAGCACTATCTGTTGTGTGGGGTGGCTATTCCTAATAGCGATTCCTCGCACATAGTGTTTATTGTGGTTGGGAGACGTGCTTCGTCTGCAAGTCTTCAAGAAAAGAACGCAGGTGTCAAGGGACTTGACACTCGAGCAGCACCTGATGGGGCAGGCCAAGAGGCCTGCATCAGCACCAGAAATAGTATCAGCTCCTCAGACGTCATCGGAGCCACAACGAGCTGATGTTCCTTGTCCGGACTCTGAGGAAGAGGGATTGTTGACTGTTACTCAGGCCCACTGAGAAAAAGGACCAATAAAACAGACTGTAGTCACTCTAGATTTTGGGGAGCATCATCTTCCTTTGCCAGAATCCGTGCACACTGGCACCATGACTCTTCAGGTATGTGTGGTGGAACTGGGCCTTCTGCCTGTCCTCTGGTACCAGGCAACATCAACTTGAGGCTGTATCGTTGACTCTGGCATTATCCGTTGAGTCCAGTAGTGACGGCATTGACGTTAACAGTGTCCATGCCTCTGGCATACCAGGCAGTATCAGATCTGCTATGCCTTTTGGTTCTTGATTCTCCAGTTATCTAGGAACATTCAGCTGCTGCGACTTTCTCAGTAATGACCCCACCATCGGGGTTAATTACACAGGTGTCCCAGACACCAGCACTACATATGGCTTTGAGTACAGTTGAGGCTGGCGCCTTCACCGGTGCCAAGGGGTTCATTGGCAGAGCAGGTTTCAGAGTAACAGCCGTGTTAGTCTGTATTCGCAAAAAGAAAAGGAGAAAAGGAGTACTTGTGGCACCTTAGAGACTAACCAATTTATTTGAGCATGAGCTTTCGTGAGCTACAGCTCACTTCATTGGCAGAGCAGTCAGCTTCGGCACCAACGGCTATCCTCATGCAAACCATGTCATGAGGATCGGTACTGACCCCAGCATCAATGCCTTGTTTGGCGTCGGTACCAAGAGAGGGTGTATTGCCTCTACCAGTCTTCAGAGCACCAACTTATGTACCGGTATCAGGACTGATGTTACCGCCATGTTGGATCTCCGAGGAGGCTGGATGGTGGCTTGCCCCTTGGGGGTTGCTCCCCCCCTTAACTCTGGATAATTCTGGGTATTCATCTAGGTCAAGCTCAAGGTCGTCGTCCTCCCTACTTCTTTTGTCTTTCAAATGCCAGTGTAGAGACAGCCCAGACCTCCTGCTGATACTGACCAGGACTTTTTCCCTGCTGCAGAGAAAGGGACTCTCGGCCCCCCGTTTACTGGCCACTGATTCCTTGCCCATCGCCATCGTGGAGTCCAGGGGACGTTCTTGTTCCTTAAGGTCCCGATCTTCAACGCACTCCAGGGCAAGATCACCCAACAAATCCATGGCATCACCTCCCCAGCCACCTACATAAGAACAGCCAGACTGGGTCACATTAAAGGTCCATCTAGCTCAGTATCCTGTCTTCCGACAGTGGTCAGTGCCAGCTGCCCAGGTGCAAATTTAGGTGGAGGATGACCCCTCGGAACCTGCGCAGCCTCAGACACATGCACAGGGTCTGGTACTGCACTGAAAGGCCAGTGAACCTCCTTTCTTCGTCGTCATCATCACCGGATGACACCTGAGTACCATATGCTTCCTTTCCAGTACCTGAGGACTTCTGGGCACATCAGGAGCTCTTGAGACGATTGGCTTCAGCCTTGGGTATATCAGGCTGAATTGGTGCAGGAAAACACTCACAAGTTAGTGGACATTCTTCTGTCCTCAATCCCAGGGGGAGTAGCTCACCCTATTAGCAAAGCACTGTTGCAACCTGCCATGACCTTGTGGAACACCCGTTGACGTCTATGGCAAAGCATATGGGCAAGTGTTATGTCCCTATGCAGGGATTCAAGTATTTTATTCACATCCTGCTCCTAACTTGCTTGTTGTGACAGCAGCCAATGAGAGGTTGCATCAAGAAAGGTACAAGTCCATGCACCAGGACAGAGGTAAAGAGGTTTGGTCTCATGGGCGGAAAGATTTATTCAACTTCCTCCTTAAAAATGTAAATTGCAAACCAGCAGGCACTGCTATCCAAATATAATTTTATGAACTGGAACTCTGTAGCCAAGTTCACAGACAAATTGCCAAATCCTTTCGAGAGGAGTTCAAGGCATTTGTTGCGGAGGGCCATCTGGTTGTTAAGACATGTTTTCTATTGGTCCTGGACATAGCTGTTATGGCTACTAAAGTTATTTGCTTCAGTGGTCACAATAAGAAGAGCACCGTGGTTGCAGAATTCAGGAATAGCACCAGAGGCTTCCACGCTTGGTTGGATATATCTTCTGATGGTCAATGTATAGTCTAAGACAAAATGGTTGAGACTTTGTGTTCATTTAATAATTCGCAAGCAACTCTGTACTCTCAGGCCTAGTTCTTAGCACCCTGCAAAATCACTTGGCTGCAATCTCAGCTTTCTATCCTCCCATCCAAGGAAAGTCAATATTCTCAGACCCTATGACGATGTTTTTTAAAGGTATTGTTCGCCTTTTTCCACCAGTGAAGGAAACTGTGCCATTGTGGGAACTTAATATGGTGGTGGCAGCACTCCATCATTTGAGCTGATAACATGCTCATTGGCTCTCCTCTTCCGGAAGAGACCTTCTTTATGACTATAACATCCTCAAGAAAAGTTAGCAATACACAAGCTTTAATGGCAGATCCTCCAGACACTCAATTCTCAAGGACAAGGTGTCTTTAAGATCACACTCAAAATTTTTGTCCAAAGTGGTATCTGTTTCACCTTCATTGGGTTATTTTCTTACCTATATTTTTTCCCAAACCATGTTCAAGAGTGAAGGAGCAACATGTACCTACCTTAGAGATCAGATGGTGCTTATCATTCTATTTAGAAAGGGCTAAGCCACTTTGTACATTATTTCGACTCTGTGCTGAGCAGATGACAGGATAACTGGTCTCCGCTCAGACTTTTTCCAAGTAGATAACTGCCTGTATTACCTTGGCTTATGGAGTTCCTCAGATGATGCCAGCGTAGTCATTACAGTCTTATCCAATAGGCGCTCAAGTGACATCAATTGCATTTCTTAGCAAGGTCTCCATATTGGATATTTGCAGGGCTGCAACAAGGTCTTCTAGTCATACTTTTGTTAGACATTATGCTATCACCCTGGCATCAAGAGCTGATGCAAACTTCGATAAGACCGTTCTGCAGTCACTGTTTAAATAGAATCCAAGCCCCACCTCCTGCTGAAACTGCTTGTGAATCACCTGAGAGGAGTTTGCCTGCATCCTTGAAGAAGACTGTTACTTATCTGTGTGGTAACTGTTCTTTGAGATGTGGATGCAGACTTGTATTTTACAACCCACCGTCTGAATCTGAGTCTGCAGCTGTGGTTTCAGGGCAAAGGAACTGAGGGGAGAGGGAGGGGTCAGCGTGCTGCCACTCTTATATAACCATAGGGGGGTTATGACAGTGCATGAGTTCCACCACATGGCAAAATTCTCCAACGTTGGTGCGCTGGGCACCTGCATACTTGATTGGAATACATATCTCCACCCATATCTTGAAGAACAACAGTTGTGGGACAGATAAGTAACAATCTTTTCTGATCTGCTTGTGGGGCCTCAGCTGGAATATGTCCAGTCTTGGGCACCACATTTTAAGAAAAATTTGGACATATTGGAGAGATCCCAGAGATGAACAAACAAAAACAAAAAAAGAGGGTTAGAAAACTTGATTTGTGAAGAAAGGTTGAAAAAATTGGACATGTTTAGTTTTGAGAACCCTACCCTTAGTTTGGTGCCCCTGTTTAATAGGATCTTCAGTCTAGTAGAGAAAGGTATGACATGATCCAAAGGCTGGGAGTTCATTTTTAACTACGAGAGTGAGTAACCACCGGAACAGTTTACCAAGGGTCGTGGTCGATTCTCCATCACTGACCATTTTTTCAGTCAAGATTGGATGTTTTTCTGAAAGATCTGCTCTAGGAATCATTTTGGAGAAGTTCTATGGCCTGTGTTACACAGGAGGTCAAACTAGATGATCATAGTGGTCACTTCTGGTCTTAGAATCTATGAATATAGCTGGGGGGCGGGAGGACAACATGAAAACAATCTTTAAATATGTAAAAAGATTGTATAAAGAGAGTGATGATCAGTTGTTCCCCATGTCCACTGAAGGTAGGACAAGAAGAAATCAGCTTAGTTTGCAGCAAGGGAGTTTCAGGTTAGTTATGAGGAAAAACTTTCTAACTCGAAGAATAGTTAAGCACTGAAACAGGTTACCTAGGGAGGTTGTAGAATGCCCACCCTTGGGGGTTTTTAGGAACAGGTTAAACAAACACCTGTCCCGGATGGTCAAGGTACTTGGTCCTGTCTCAGCACAGGCGAATGGACTAGATGACTTCTTAAGATCCCTTTCAGGTCTACATTTGTGTGATTCTGTGAGGGAGAGGGGCCCAGGTCCTACTCTTTTATGTAACTGAGGAATCACTCCAGTGTGAGTTTGGGGGAGGTTTTGGATACCAGGAGTGAGGTGGGGTGGGGGCTTAGCTAAGCTTGTGGAGAGTCACTCAGTGGTGCTGGGGAAGGTTATTCACTGAGTTTCACTGTTGGATTGGGAGGGAAGTTTACTACAAGGGAAGTGTCTACTGTGGGAAAACAGCTGTAACACTTCAGAGGAGCATGCCTGATCCTGTGTGTAGCCATCCTGCCATCTAACTTCAGATTTTGTCTCTATTCTTCTGTCTCAGCTGAAATACACCCGGCCTGGACTGCCCACATTTAGTCAGGATGTGTTGTGCAAGTGGAAATCGGAGATAAAGATGTACCGAAGGGTCCACTGTCCAAACCAGGTAACCAACCCCAAGTCCTAAAGCACTAAAGAGACCAAGTCCGAGGATCTTAGAAAAATAATTACAGGTTTCACAGTAACAGCCGTGTTAGTCTGTATTCGTGAAAAGAAAAGGAGTACTTGTGGCACCTTAGAGACTAACCAATTTATTTGAGCATAAGCTTTTGTGAGCTACAGCTCACTTCATCGGATGCATACTGTGGAAAGATCTTTTATACACACAAAGCATGAAAAAAATACCTCCCCCCACCCCACTCTCCTGCTGGCAATAGCTTATCTAAAGTGATCACTCTCCTTACAATGTGCATGATAATCAAGTTGGGCCATTTCCAGCACAAATCCAGGGTTTATCAAGAACGTCTGGGGGAGGGGGGGCGGGGGGGGTTAGGAAAAAACAAGGGGAAATAGATTACCTTGCATAATGACTTAGCCACTCCCAGTCTCTATTCAAGCCTAAGTTAATTGTATCCAAAACTTATGCTCAAATAAATTGGTTAGTCTCTAAGGTGCCACAAGTACTCCTTTTCTTTTTAGAAAAATAATTGAGTCTGGCCAGGCTGTGCAGCAATGAGCTGAGAGACTTCCACAAGGCCAAAATCAAGGTTCATCTCTGTGTCTGGAGGAATCAAACACTACTTGCTCTCAGGGTGAATACCTGTCAGTTTCTCACTGAGGTTCTGGATGTGCCTGGGCAACATTTAGGTTGCTTCTTAAGAGATGATCCTGTGGTGTTATGGCTAGAAAAATCCAGTGGGGAACTATTGGGTCCATTGATGGACACTGTTAATGTCTCTCCAAAGGTGAGTAAGAGCTGAGTGGGCATTAGTCCATTGCCTAGGAACCATCACTTAATGTTGAGAATCTTGCAAACTCCACCTGGACTTTCCAGAGCGAGGCTATTGAGGGGTTAGAGAAGCCTCTCTGCCTGCAGGCAGAGCCCTGGTATTGTCTAGATCTTTGTTGGCTGGGCTTTAGGTCTGGGTTTAGTGTGGACACTGCACTGGTCTCTCTGGTTAGTGATGGGTGAAGGCCAGATGTCCATGCTGATTCTGTTCAGTATGACAGCATCCTACAATATTATCATACCCATGGCTGCCTGGACTGTGGGACTCCCCATAGAAGAGACATGTCTCTACTTCCCTGTCAGAGATCTTTGGGGAAGTATTGGGAAATGCTCATCCATGCCCAAGGACTCCAGTGAGGAATCCTGGAGAGTTGTATTCCCAGCCTTCCTGTATCTGAGGCCACTTGGAGGGTTAGAGATGCAGTTTGGATATGGTGTCATCATTATGTTGACAGCATACAACTTTGTCTTTTCATTGGATCAAGACCATACATCCCTGCTTTCCCAGTGTCTGTCTGAGGTAGGGGCTTAAATGACAGTGAGCTGGCTGAGTTTCATGACAAATAAGAAACAGGTGATACTGCATGGGGAAATTACTAAAGCATATGTGGTTGTGTGGGGGAGCTGTCCTATAGTATGAGGCTTTTCCCACATTTGTCATGAGGTTCGCAGCCTACAGGGACTGCTGAAGTGCCAGCAGTTTTAGAACAAATTGATCACCAGGACCAGATGGTATTCACTCAAGATTTCTGAAGGAACTTAAATATGAAATTGCAGAACTACTAACTGTGGTATGTAACCATCACTTAAATCAGCAATTACAGTCCGGTAAGCCTAACTTCAGTACCAGGCAAATTGGTTGAAACGATTAGGGAACAGAATTATCAGACACACAGATGAACATGATATGTTGGGGAAGAGCCAACACCGCTTTTGTAAATGGAAATCATAAGAACATAACAATGGCTTTATTGGGTCAGACCAAAGGTCCGTTCAGCCCAGTATCCTGTCTACCGACCGTGGCCAATGCCAGGTGCCCCAGAGGGGGTGAACCTAACAGGTAATGATCAAGTGATCTCTCTCCTGCCATCCATCTCCACCCTCTGACTGACAGAGGCTAGGGACACCATTCCTTACCCATCCTGGCTAATAGCCATTAATGGACTTAACCTCCATGAATTATCTAGTTCTCTTTTAAACCCTGTTATAGTCCTAGTCTTCACAACCTCGTCAGGCAAGGAGTTCCACAGGTTGACTGTGCGCTGAGTGAAGAACTTCCTTTTATTTGTTTTAAACCTGCTGCCCATTAATTTCATTTGGTGGCCCCTAGTTCTTATATTATGGGAACAAGTAAATAACTTTTCCTTATTCACTTTCTCCACACCACTTATGATGTTATATACCTCTATCATATCCCCCCTTACCCCATGACTGCTTAGTGAGGCATGATAAGAGAGAAGGTCCTCTCATGGATCAGTAACTGGTTAAAAGGTAGGAAACAAGGGATAGGAATAAAGGGTCAGTTTTCACAGTGAAGAGAGGTAAATAGCAAGGTACCCCAAGGATCTGTACTGGGACCAGTGCTGTTTAACATATTCATAAATGATCTGGAAAAATGCATAAACAGTGAGGTGGTAAAGTTTGCAGACACGATAGAATTACTCAAGATAGCGAAGTCCAGTGCTGATTGTGAAGAGTTTACAAAAAGATCTCACAAAACTGAGTGACTGGGTAAGAAAATGTCAGATGAAATTCAGTGTTGATAAATGCAAAGTAATGCACATTATATAATATAATCCCAACTATACATACAAAAGAATGGGGTCTAAATTAGCTGTTACCACTCAAGAAAGATCTTGGAGTTGTCATGGATAGTTCTTTGAAAACATCCACCCAATGCACAGCAGCAGTCAAAAAAGCTAATAGAATGTTAGGACCCATTAGCGAAGGGATTTATAATTAAACAGACATGGTACACCTTCACCTTGAACACTGCATGCAGTTCTGGTCACCCATCTCAAAAAAGATATATTAAAATTGGAAAAAGTACAGAGAAAGGCAACAAACATGATGAGGGGTATGGAACAGCTTCCATATGATGTGAAATTAATAAGACTGGGACTATGCAGCTTGGAAAAGAGATGACTAAGCAGGTAGAAGATAGAGGTCTACAAAATCCTGAATGGTGTGGAGAAAGTGATGAGGTAAGTGTGTTACGAATTATACCTGGTAGGTCATGCACACAAATGCTGCGAATTATACCTGGTAGGTCACGCACAGTTCGAATCTAGGCTGAGGCACATGAACAAAGTCCACAACTGCAGTGTTCCCAAAAAACACCAAGTTTATTATGCTCGAGCGTGGTGCCCCCCTGCTAGTCAGGAGGGGACCCCGAATACAGATTATACAAAGGTTATATACCTCTTAGCAAAGCATGTTGCCCTCGTGCATCGGAAACCTTAGCCAATAAACAAACCCTTTTCTTATTGTGGAAGTATAACATTGTATAACTATAACATTGTATAAGGGGACATGCTGGATACATTGTATATGAGAGGGCATGCCAAAACATGTTACAAAGTATCTGAGGGAGCACACGTAGGGACAGTTAGCTTTTGAATGGAGAAGCAATTAAGATAGAGCCAGCACGTCTAAGAAGCAGGCATCAGAATGGAAGGTGTGAAGGGCAATTAGTTAAGTTAACTGGAAGCTGTTAAAGGAGATTGTTAAGGGTGGCAGGTAATTGAAGATACGTGACCGGTCTCAGGGATCTCGAAGGGTGGTGACTAAAATCTTTTTCTTCTTTTGTCTGTAACTCCTCTGTAACTTGTTCTCCAAAAACTGTATAAATTAAGAGACACAAGCCCCACTCGGGGGGCTCACTTCTAAATGTATTAGCAGAGCAGCTTTGCTAATAAAACAGAGTGGTCTGATAAATTGTGAGTCTGAGTCAAACTTTGACAATTTGGAGGTCCCACTGAGATTTCAAATGGACTCAATTTGTGTCTCTGGGATGGGGATGACCGAATTTCCGTAAGGGCCAGTGGTAAAGCAGCTGGCCAGTTTAACCCTGTGGAACTACAGATTTTTGCCAGCTTATTTTTAAGCACACCATTTCGCCTTTCAACTGCCCCTGCACTCTGTGGATGTTAAGGGCAGTGCAACAGGTGGGTGACATGTAATACCTGGTTTAGATGTTGAACAATTTTTCCAGTAAAATGTGTTCCCCGGTCACTAGACAAAGTGGCAGGAATTCCCTTGGTAGGGATAATGTGGTTTAACAGACATTTTGCAACGGACAGTGAATCAGCTTTGCGACAGGGAAAGGCTTCAATCCAACCCGAAAACAGACATATTATAACTAAAATGAATTCATATTTCTGACACTTTGGCATTTGTACAAAATCAAGTTGCCAGTGTAGGAAAGGTGCTTGAGGCAAACCCCGGAACCCTTGTGTTACTTTTACAGATTTGCCTACATTGTGGCTTTGACAAGTAACACAAGCGGCACAGTGGCAGGTTGCAAAGGAGCCGAAATGGGGAGCCCACCACCCCACCTTACTCATAGCAGAGACCATCCCCTCCTTGCCGACATGCGAAACACCATGTAACAGGGCAGCTAGAGATGGGTAGAGTGAGAGGGGGGCTACAAAGGTACCGGTGGGCGATCGCCAAAGGGAATCAGAATGCAAAGAGCAACCCAAAGCACTCCAGGAGTCTTTCTCTGTTTCTGGGGCAGAATCCTGGAGCTGAGCGAGATGAGACAGGGATGGTGGCGTTACAGAGACAGAGAGGGGACCAAGAAACGCTTCCGGTGAAGGTTTTATAGTGGTGGCATGTTTTGCAGCAGTATCAGCAAGTGCATTACCTTTTGCCACCTCGATTTCTGCCGCTGAGGGGCCAGTACACTTAACAATTGCCAAGGCAGACGGTAGTAAAACTGCCTACAGGAGGGCGGCAATGTAGGGGCCATTCTTGATAGGGGTACCAGCAGAGATAAGAAAACCTCGAGCCTGCCAGAGGGTGCCAAAGTCATGCACAACCCCAAAGGCATACCGAGAATCAGTAAAAATAGTGGCAGAGAGCTCCTCGGCTAGAAAGCAGGCACGGGTTAGAGCAATCAGTTCAGCCACCTGGGCAGAGGTCACAGAGGGTAA